GCTTTACAATATAAGGAAGACATTACAGTCACAATACAATTCAAGACAAGATGGTAAGGAGGGCCCTGCCCCTGAGGGCTTACAATCTAAAAGAGGAGGGGGAAATGATACATGAGGTAGCTGTGGGAATGAATTATGTGAGAATGTGAAGGTTCAGTGGTTAGGTGTATCTATGTGTAATTGCATCCAGTATAGGAACAAATTAAAGTGACATTAAAGTCAAAAAATGTTTTCCCTCCCCCAATGTTAATGAAAGCACTTACCTTAAATGATGTCTCTTAATCCGATCTTCCTCTTCTTTCCTGAGGTTTTCATCTGTCCCTCCAGCGGTGCGGCGGCTCTCTGATCCAGCGCAGACTCCTCTCTGCTAGCAGTCACTTCCGATCCAGCGGTGTCTGCATGCGGGTGCACGCGTCCATAGACTTACCTTGTGTCTCTGCTCGTCTCCCGGCCGAGAATCCGAACTGCGCATGCGCCCGCCCCAAGATGCTTTGCGGCCGCCCAAGCAGTTTCGGATTCTCGGGCAGGAGCGCGCGACGAAAACAGGGTAAGTGTAAACCGCTGTTAAAGGAGGTTTTTTTTTAAAAAAAACAAAAACGTTTTGCCTATATATAGGCAAAAAAAATTGGAGGCTTTAGAACCCCTTTAAGTTTTATTTTATTTTTTTCACTAAACTGGAAAAAAATAGGAAATATCATCTCTATATTACTGCACAATGTCCATGTTTAGTCCACCTACCCTGATTCATTGTCCATTTTTACTGTTGAAAAGAATCTAATTCAACTTTGAGCTCATTGTGGCCTGAAAGGTGATAGAAAGGACTATGTATAAAGATAACCATATTACAAACAAAGGGGAGTGTGGGGAATAAGCTCAAGCTAGCAGGAGGCCTATACTCAGAGAAAAGGATATATGAAAAACTAAATAATAAACTTAACTGACCACTTGGACGTTTTTTGCCATCACTTGTCTATGTCTCTATGAGTAGGGTTATTTAAGTGAGCAGTGTGGGCTGGTGCATGCAGTCCTGCCATTTCTACGAAATTAAAACTCTCAATTTTGATCAGCTCTACTTTGGATAAAGAGCTAAACTCCTGAGCAGATAGACTATGCCCCCCCCCCTCTTGCATTCTAAGGTTTAATTTTCATTGTTGATAGAAGCATATCTTTACAAATGTAGGTATTCTATGGGGTCTACTCAGTGTTTTCATCAAAATAGATATATTTATAAGAAACAAATGTTGGTCTTATAGAAATCATACAGGTTTTTTTTTATAGCAAGCATACTGCAGACTGTTGTGCTTGGCTGATCTCCGTTTTGGTTACATTTCTCTTTGTCAGTGTGTGCTCCCATTCACAGAGTAATCATCACACGCTGTACTTTTCCATCATTATTTCCTTCATTTAAAGAGACACTACACTCAGGAGTTAAATCTTAAAAATACAATCAAATACCCTAACTATTAAAAACAATGTATCTTATTTGTGTATCAGTCGGCTGTAGATCCTCAAATCATCTCTGAATTGGTGCTGACACTGTCCTTCCTTCTGGAGGGGGGGGGCTACTTTTGTTCCCCATGGTCCCTGTGTGTGTTGTAATGTAGTCACCGCTCCAATGTGATCAGAAACTGCTGCTACTTATTAGTCACTTTTGTCTGCTTCTGGAGATATACAGAAATCTAATATCCCCAGTAGGGATCCACAAACTTCAGTGGTTGTCTCCAATCTCTGGATTTTCTCTTTTTTATGTTAGGGGTGCGTGATACTTGACCCCTCAGCGCTGCCGGCTCAAAACAGATTATAAAGAGCTACACCGGTCTAACTATTCATACTTATTATCATCAGCTAGTCAATATATGCATGCTGGTAACAAGTGTTTTCTATGTTAGTTTAATCAATTTGAATGGGGTTTCAGGTGGTGGTTGTTGATCTCCTTTGTTGATCCATGTTTTTATCATATTTGAATAAACTATTTCTGTACTAGATAAGGTACTCCCACCCTCATTATTACTGGTCTTGATTTGATCTCATTTAGATCATCTCTCCTTCTTTTTGCTCTAGTGTTACATGACAGTAGAGGGTTGTTGAATACCACATACAAACCAGATTAACATCCAGAAATAAGGGGGTTAATCTTAATTGGGTCTGGTCTCTGGTTATATCCTTCTCTTTTTCAGTTGTAGTCACCGCTCCAAGCTCAATACCGGGATGGACAACAAGCTCATGTTTAGTTTACTCATTTGTATTTAGATTGTACTCCATCTCGACAGCGAGCTTGGAACACACACACAGGGACGATGAGGAACACAAGTAGCCCCCACCCTCCAGAAGGAAGGACAGTGTCAGCACCAATTCAGAGATGATTTGAGGATCTACAGCCGAGTGATACACAAATAAGATACATTTTTCTTTAATAGTTAAGGTACTTGAACACATTTTTAAGTTTTGATTCGAGTTTAGTGTCTCTTTAAATCAAGGCATCAATCAGGGGTGTATTTACCGCGAGGAAAACTAGGCGTTTGCCTAGGGCGGCACCCTCCGTCGGGGCGGCTGCTCCGCTAGCACACTGACAAAGAGAAATGTAACCTAATCTGAGATCAGCCAAGCACAACAGTCTGCATTATGTTTGCTATGAAAACCTGTATGATTTATATAAGAACACTTTTTTTTTGTAAATATATTTATATTAATGACAAAACTGAGTAAACCCCATAGCAACATCATGAGACAGACATTAGAAATGTGCTCATCACATGTCAAAATATCTACATAACTAACCATACAAGAATACGTTGATAAATAAATGAAAAAATAAGTAGTAAAGTATTAAAATAAAAAACATGTATTTGGTATAATGCCTGCGTTTCAATGACCATTTCTAGTATTCAAAATGAAAAGACAAGAACCTTGTGGTCAGAGAAGGACTTTGTTGACCCATCAGAGGAAACATGTTATTAATTCATCATTTCTGAAATTTCTTCAGCAACAATGATGGAAACGGACAACATGTGTGAATGGGCGCACACCGACAGAGAGAAATGTAACCTAAACTGAGATCAGCCAAGCACAACAGTCTGCAGTATGCTTGCTATGAAAACCTCTCCATAGCAACATCATGAGAAGACATTAGAAATGTGATAATCACATGTCAAAATATCTCCTAAGCTAGCCATACAATAATAAGATGATAAATAAAGGAAAAAGTAAGTAGTTAAGTATTAAAAGAAGAAACATGTATTTGGTATAATTCTTGCGTTTCAATGGCCATTTCTAGTGTTCAAAATGAAATGACAAGAACCTTGTGGTCAGAGAAGGACTTTGTTGACCCAGCAGAGCAAACATGTTATTAATTCATCATTTCTGACATTTCTTCAAATATGACTGTTCTATGAGTAGAGGGGGGGGGGGGGGGGGTATCCACACCAA